TTTAAAGGGTTAATGTAAGACAAACGGTCACGTTGTGCATCCTTGTTGGGAAGAAAAACAAGTCGTGATTGTGATATCCAATTAAACGGTACCTTGGTGATGATGTCTTTGAACTGGCCCTCCTTCCAGGCATCTGTCGGGTGGTTCATCATGGTGATGATGGCGTTGTCGTACTCCTCGTATTTGTCATACAGGAAGACAAGTTCGGCCCACAGGTGAGCCTGCTCCGCTGCTCTCAGGACCTTTGGGATGTTAACTCTTGACCAGAAGAGCTCCAGATGCTCCCTCATCTTCTGGGGCTTGAACTTGGAATAGAGAATGGCCAGCTCTGTGAACATCCCCATGTGAGCGCGCTCCAGGCCCAGGGCGGCCTCCAGCATGGTAATCAACTCCTCAAAGTAACCACGGTCCTGAGAGAGAACAACAGCGATGGGAGGTCGTCAAATGTTTGCTCATTTTTGGGCTGAACTACGAGAGCTGCACACCTCAAAATCAAACTTCTGGATTTATTTTAAGGACAATAAAGCTTCTCATCGATCTCTTACTTGGTAGTAGTTAATCAGCTCCTCCAGCTCATCGGCGTGCACGACGATATGGAGACCGCACATCTGCGCCAGTCTGAACTCCTGTCCGTCCACACAGGCGAAGCACACCTCTTTCCAGGTGCGGGTGCTGTTGGCCTTACGGGCGCCGTCCACGGCAGCCTGGTACTCTCCGAGGTGCACCAGGGTCGAAGCCAGACGGCCAAAGTTGGAAACGTTGTTGTACAACAGTTTAGCGGCCTCATACATTTTCTCATCATAGCAGCGGTCACCAACCTGAAACAAATACAGTACAATAAACACGTTATTTCATCGATGACCCGTCGGCTCGTCAGAGTCAAAGCTGCGTGAGAGTGAGCTCAACCTGTTGAATGTGAGCATTATTGGGCCCGTTGATGAACTCCTCAAGTTCAGCAAGGCGATTGGTTTTGGCCAAAGCAAAGATCAGCTCGGTCTCTACGTAGGATTCGCGGGCCTTCTTACGAGCCATCTGCAGGAATTTGACCAAGTCCTCCCAGTTACCTGCAACACATTTACATTAACGAGGCTGTTGCTCTGTTTTCACAGTAATCCTTCGATATCTGCTGCACAAGCAAAGCTACTGCACAGGCTGCCATCTACGACCCGATAACAGTCGATGTAATTGATTGATTGATTAATTGCTTTCGATTAAAGTGGCACTAGCACACAACTAACAGCCTTCACTGAAACCTGCTCTAATTGAGTGAGATCGTTCTCCGTACCACTCGTATCAGC